ATCAGTTTTTACTTAGATGAGCATTACTGTTCACAATATGTGATTATGCCTTTTCATCGAGGTCAGATGATTAAAATAGTACGAGGCGCTCCTCACGTAAGGGACATAAGCTTAGAGGTCTGTGACATCATCATCAGACCAGTCATGCTGATGCATGACCGCTGAGAGCGCTGAATTTAACTCTTCTCCCTGATATACAGTGGTCGGTGACCCAATACTACCATTATAATCCGCTGTAGCACTCGGTGACTGTATTGGCTCTTTGGCTTGGAAATGGTCAAGAGATGCAGAAATGGACTCCGTATCCAACATCCACCCATAGCCAACATAAGCTGGAGGGAATATTGTTGTGCCACCATCTCCATCACTGGTGTTTGTGACCACGGTGTGAGTCCAAGAGGGAGGTGGAGGTGTGAACAGACCTCCTGCTACAAGCTGTCCATGATGAAGGGCATTGTCAATGCTGCGCCTGAGGTTAATAGGAGATGGGGGCCGCATGTCGAATTCTATAAGTGAAAGGACGCATTCATGTTCCCCAACTTTTTGCCACAGCAGTGCAGCCTGGGAGTCAGAGCTGCTATTGCTAACAGGATCAGGCTTGTATTCTGTTATAATGGTCGATGGCTGATCATCATACTGGCACATTACATTGTTGCTGATAGCTGCTCGAGACAGGTTATATTTTGCCCAGTTATTTGGCATCAGGCCTTCCCAGGTTTTCTCTGATTTTCTTAGTGGCCCTTTTCGTACAGTGGCCAAGACTCTACCCCACAAGCTTTTCTCCTCCACCCCTTTAGACACATCACTTCTGCCCTGTCCATTATCACCCCTTGAATTACCCCTAGAGGGCATCCAGAAGAGCCAAGATCCCAGGACAAGCAAAGAGAATCCCCAGGCTAACTCAAGGATTCTTGCCCAAAACTGACTGAGCCACCAGCCCCAGCCAAAGCGCCTCCAGTTCCCCAGTAACCCATAAAGCCAAAGGAGACTATACATCTGAAGGCTGCAGCAGAGCACCCCGAGGAAGGCACACACTGCTGTTACCCGCTTTGCTCGCTTCTCAATCATCTGTGAAGGAAACCACTGAGGTACAGAGGACCTGAGAAAGGGTTGTAGGTGAGAAAGAGACTTGGTGATTATTCCCATGCAGAATGGGAGGCCCCAGCAGAGGGAGAAGGTCTGTAGCAACAGAGGGAGAACAGGGGATAAAATTGAGGAGTGTAGGTCTGCTATAAGTAATGCGGTGCAATGTGATACAGCCAGCCCTCCAACCACCCATGGGCTCTGCAGCTTTAGTGGAAAAAGTAGTATTTTCAACCCTCTGAGTGTGACCAGAGCGAGGGCAACCTGTGCCCACAGAAGAAGCTGGAGAGGAATGTTATGGAATGCAGCCAGAGTAGCACGAGACAGGATCTGACGGGTGCCATAAGGATCAAGTAGAAGGAGGACACCACGTAAAGTACCACTTATAATTAGGAGGCTATTCGCCAGGGTCAGGGAATCACAGAGGGGATGAGGAAGAGTGCATGCACCAGCCATTCCCAAAACTGCCAGGACTGCCATCAGTATGAAAAGGCTGGCAGATCCAAAAACATGTATTTCCCAGGCAAATGCCAGTGTGCGGCTCATGTCATCCCAGAGCAGACTGGTGCCATTTAAGTTTTTAAGAACAACACAAGGTCTAAGACCAAGGACACAGGGATTTCCAGGTCCTGACAGGTCCTGGTTCGTCAGAGCAGTAAACACATAAGTTTGGACAGGGAGTTCAGAGACTTCCCCACCTGAAAGAGAGAGAGATAAAGGAGAAGAATTCAACTGGCAATTTGTAACAGTATAAAACACACAGTGTTGTGAAAATATCTTTTGCATCTGTTGTATATTTTAATATATTGCTAAGGGGGGAGGGTTTTTTTTGTTTTTCATCTAATAGTGATAATTAAATGATGTATCAGAAAGTGACAGAGCGTGAGTGTATTTAAAGAAGAAAAAGGAGAATCAGAACAATGGCGTTATGTTTGACTTCAATTTACTATCATATGTTCACTTACCATCCAGAGAGTCATCATTTACTATGGATGTATGACTCTCTTTGAACTGTTCCTCATTTGTTATGTGGCTGCCCTCTGAGAAAGCTTCCTCTGAGACAATGTGTACACTGGAGTGGGTGTGTCCTGTAATTGAAGTATTAGCTTTGTCAGCTCCTTGGTCGTGAGCCTGTAAGTGGTGTAGAGTAAGCTCCAGGGTTGCAGTTAAAGTTCTTCCAGACCCAGAATGGTTTTCATTGCTGGCTGGCTCACGCTCCTTTGTCTTATTGATGAGTTTCTGTGATGTTACACTGTCGACATTATGTCCACTGCCTTCCACAGAGTCACTACTGCTTTCTGAATGGAAGATTACTTCCCCAGCCAAGCTGTCAGTGGCATTGCTGTTCCTGCCTGTGCTTCGGGTTACTCGGACTGAATCGGAGTTGTCCAGTGAATGTGAAGTTTGAATAAGACTTCCAAGTGAAAAGAGAGACAGTGTAATGAAGAACAAAGATGAACGCCCCATTTTTTGTCACCAAAATAAAAATTCCAAGACCTGTAGGTCAACAAAAAAGAGGAAAAATTGACATGTAATTCCACATCAATATGGAAACATTCTGAGCTACACACACATAACTATTCAACTGCAGAACAACCACCCTTATCATATATCAACATGATATGGATTTTTTACAAGACACTATTTTACATAATTGTGAAACAGTTGTTAGTAGAAAGATTTAAGAGGTTAGGTAGACGTAAAGAGTCCCGCAGATTGCCAGATAATTGATCTTGACTTTCAATCCTATAAAGAACAATAATTCGCCTGTGTAATCCAGTGGGGCTGCCCACTATTTTTTCAACAAAAATACAGCACAGCTTAGCAGAGACACAGCACGAGGACTGGCTCATGCTGTGTCTCTGCCAAGCTGTTCGTGCCCTTCGGGGCATAAAGGTCAAGCTGCCATTTCAGTGGTACGCAAATCACACATGATAATAAAAACAAATCATAAATGACTAAAGTGATTAGGAAATACACTAGAGCCCAAGTGCCATGAATAATAATGTTATGTTCATCCTGACACAGAAACATTTCTTGCAGGTGACCTGATTTTCCAAATGCAACTTCAGGTGAGTTCAGATCATAATTTAACGTTATTTCTGTTTCTGTTTATTTTAACATTGCTCAAAACATAAACCATAAGGTTAAGATATGCCCTTTGTCCCGACTTACTGTTGAGAAATTCTACTATTAGATTTTTAAAAAGTGCACTCTTTCCAAAAAAGAAATACAGAAACATTGAAAAAGCTTTACATGCGATGTAATTTGCAGTGGATTTTCCAACTATCACAGCCATTTTACAACATAACCAAAACACATTAGTCCATTGCCAAAACAATCTCTGCTAAACAACCACCCCAACCAACTCCACACACACACACACACACACACACACACACACACACACACACACACAAATTAAAATGCTCAGTAAAGCCGGAACTCAGCTGTACCTGTGATTCCTTGTGCGCTGCTTCCTGTCAATGCTTCACAGGTTGCACTCCATCTCTAGTTGCAGTCCAAGGGTGTGTAACATCTGATTTATGATGTGGAGAATGAGGAGCATCACAGTGAGGGTTGATCACATTGGATTTATAGACACGCTCACAGCCATCTAGCCTTCAAGCTGACGTCTTATTCGTATTACTGCGCCGTCTGGTGACTTGGCAGCCTCCCATCACGAAGTCACCTGCAGAAACAAAGAGCATGACCTGAATGCCAGGGATCCCTTCAGAAATAGAATTGCTTGCATGAATATCTGCCAGGTGATCGTCTTCACATATGGAGATTTAAAAAGGAAAATATTTTTGTAAATAATTGACTATTAATAAAAGTCCACATGTCTCACCTAGCTACCTCTTTCTACAACAGTTGTGTGAAGGCAAATCCCTTCTAGAAAGGATTACATTAAGATTCTTACAGTGGCACAAAGTCACATGAAGTGATAATGTGCAGCCAACTAGACACGAGCCCTATAGTATTGTTTCATGCCAGTTTATGGGCTTATTAGTTTGTATGTATGCATTTGAAAAGTCTTATATTAAACATGACATAGCACATGGACAGTAGATGTTATGCATTCTATATGATGTAAGAAAATGTATACAAGATTGTTAGAAATGGTGTTTTCTCTATCATTGCGGTCTAAATAATTTTATTAAAGGAAAAATCTTAATATACATATATAAATACAACCATTTCCACCAGAGAGCTCTTACAGAGTCTCAGACAGACTGCAGTGAGTGTGGGAATTAACTATTTCCCATCCAGTGTGTAGAGGACATAGCCTATGCACATGGTACATCTGTCTTGGTCCACCTTAAGAGGGGTGAGAGGCAGTTTGTTGTGGAGCAAACAGGGGGAGGCCCTCAGTGGCACATGCCTGGCTCTTTAAGGCAGACTGGGGAAGTTAGATTTTGTTAAAGGTACATGCATTCAAATATTTACCAGTCTTTGCCAGAAGCATACTGAAAATCATTTTAACGCTATCTATCTATCTATCTATCTATCTATCTATCTATCTATCTATCTATCTATCTATCTATCTATTTGATTGCATAATAATTTCACATCTACTGTTTTCCTTCATCTTTTCAGTGTAATAATAATTACAGGTAATACAGAATGATTGTATGTACAGATAATATGGTATGTCTCCAAATGACCCACTATTAGTCTAAGAGATTTGGCTGATGATCTGATTTTGACTCATTTAAACAGACAAATAATGAAATCTGATTAAGCATCATTACAGCTTGTGACAGACTGAGCGTTGACTTATGCTCATCATAGCTGCATATGTGGTGTCTGAATGTAATTTTAATTTCCATGTGACAGTTGCAGAGAGCCACATATTAATGCAGGTCTTGGTCATGCTGTGGGATGGGACGCTTGTTAACAGGACAGCGCGGCAGGCCCGTCGCCTGGCAGAGCAGTCTGAAGAGGAGTCGCGTTTTTCTCGGGGCCTATACTTCCGTCATTTTATATCTCACTGGATAAACACTGTGGACCCGATTCTGCATGTGTGGCGGTGTGGCGCAGGCTGTGGTAATACTACTGGTGATTCTGCTGGATAAATCAATCTGCTTGGGAAACTTGTTTTGTACGGACAGCAGCCTGGATCTCACCCTGAAACAAGCAGACGTCAGAGACCTCGCCTGCTTGCTGCCGTCGCTGCTGCTTAATTTTATCTAATCGAAGCATTGTTTGCGGGATTACACCGCTGCCACATGCACTATGTAGCGAAGTGAATGGCATGCTGCTGGTAGCTGTTAGACGTTTATCGGCTTTTTAGTTTTAAACACCGTGCCTTGGCGGAAAGGAGAGGATTTCGTTTTATTTAAGGTAGCATGACAGGATCCGGAGTCATCGAGCTAGCTAGCTAACGTTAGCACAATGGTTAGCTAGTTAGCTAGCGTCATGTTACTTTAATGAATGGGCTGTTGCTCTAAATGTTTGTTAACGTATCCTATGATATGCAGGCAGATCGTATACATTAGACACCGCATTGGTATCTGTCGGTGTTTTGATACAGTTAGCGAGCCAATTATCCATATGGGTTGTGACAAAACAGAGCCTTGCTAACAGTGTGAAGCTAGCTTGCTAACCACTAGCTATAACGTAGATACTATTATTAGGCAGTCTGCACATACAGTCTGGAAATCATACTGTTGGTGCCTTGATCAGTGGCTTTATAAACATTTAACGAAAAGTCTCAGTAAAAAGGGAAAAAAAAGGCTCAGCTGTGAATGTAATGTTTAAATTACTAGACAAAGTTGATTGAAACGCAGCAGACTTTGTATTACAAGTCTAAATGCACTTTGTCCCATTGTGTTATTTCAACGCCCCCTATCTAATTAGTAACTGTTTAAATCGTACTCTTTAGCTTATTATATCTTGTTACTGTAAATGTAGATGCAAGATTACACCACCGCCCCCTCTTCATGAGAATTTTCTCTATTAAAGATTTCAATACGCCCCATTGTGAATGTAAACTGTTTGGTACTTAATTATAATCTACAATGTTTAAAGATCTGTTCCCTTCTGTCTAGGTCAAAGTGACGATGAATGAGCAGGAGAGTGGAGTTGTTTCCTTCGATGAATATGTGCGGCAGAAGGCGCGCACTGTGCCTCAGCACAGGATGAAGGAGTTCCTGGAGTGTCTTGCCAAGGGCCCAGAGGTGCTGCAGGAGTTCAGCCAGCAGGAAGGGGCAGCCACCACCACAGCCATGGTGTACCAGCAGCAGGGTACCAACTGTGTCTACACAGACAGCACAGAGGTGGCTGGGTCGCTTTTAGAGCTGGCTTGCCCGGTAAAAATCTTTTAACATGGTTGTTGTTGAATGATATTATTGCTGTTGTTCAGAGTGGTACAATATGTTGCACCTTTTTATTTATATATTCTTCTTATTTATTTATATATATATATATATGTGCATGTTTTATGACAGGTACAGGTGACCTCGGCAGATATTTCACCTCACCTGTCTGTGCACCAAGGGTCTGAGCAGCAGCTTCAAGTGCAGGTTAGTTTATATGCCAGTATCTGGTATCTCATACCATGTTTAAACTTCTCAAAACAGATGGGTCTGGAAAGCCCCAGAAACACAATCATTGCTCAATGTCAAATAAGATGAAAGATATTCATTGTTAGGAGAAGTGGTAATGGTTATTCAGCTTTTCTCTACTACTGCACCTGTGTCTGTCACTGTGTCTTTAAATGTATTAATATCACTATAAAAATACAATTCTGTAACAAATGTGACTCTTTCTGTGGGGAAGAAATTGTTTCTTGGGCAAAATACCTGTCTGTCTGACCTGGTCAGTATTGATTGTTTTGGTATCAGTGCACGTTATTAAGAGATTTATCACATTTTATTACAAGGAATGCCATAATTAATTTGGAGATAAGGTGAATTTATCATCGAAATTAATTTACTTACTTCACAGAAAAGAGTACTTCACAATTTTTCAGTGAACAGAAAGTATGTTATTGCTTGCTGATGAGCCTGTTTATTTTTCATGCTCCCACACTGTTCCAGGTTCAGATCCAGGAACAGCAGGGCCAGACAGTCGGCCAGGTTCTTCAGGTGGCCTCTCCCTCTCAGCAGGACCTGCAGGGAATCTCCACAGCCCAGCTTGTCCAGCAGGGAGAGCTCACAGAGGAGCAGCAACAGCAGGTACAGTATTAATTTCCATCACCCATATCAAGTGTATCCATGTGATGAATTTCTGCTGGGTTTTTTTCACAATGCTGGCTGTATTTTACAGATTCAGGCACAGTTGGTTGCAGCTGTGGCTGGAGGACAACAAATCCACTTACAAGGAGCGCAGCATATTCAGCTGCCAGGGGGTCAGCAAATTCAACTTCAGGCTGGCCAACAGATTCAACTACAGGGTGGCCAACAGATTCAACTACAGGGTGGACAACAAATTCAACTACAAGGTGGACAACAAATTCAACTACAAGGTGGCCAGCAGATCCAGATTCAGACCATAGAGGCCATGTCTCCTTCCCAGCAACAGGACTCTCCCAGGGAGGCAGAGAGGAGGTCCGGCACTGTCTCAACTGTTCTCCAACCTGCCAAGAAGCGTAAAGTGGATGTCCCTCTAGCTGTTTCCTATGCTGTTCCACAGGGTCAGCAGGTGGCTACAGTTCTGGCCATCCCTCAAGGGCAGCAGCAAAGCTACGTGTCCCTACGACCAGATTTGCTCACTGTTGACAGTGCTCAACTGTACAGCACAACAGGAACAATCACAGGTCCCACAGGTGAGACCTGGACCATCCCTGTGTACTCCGCTCCTCAACAGCAGGGTGTAACTCACATTGCTATACCACAGGAGACATACAGCACAGTGCAAGTTACCACCACCAACGGTAAGGACAAAATGTCCCCCAGTTCCTCTTCAAGGTCTGCAGATGGGCAGTTGGCCTCCACTGGAACACAGGAAGAAATAGTACAGACCCTGTTCCCAGCACAGTTCATGAACGGGAACATTCACATCCCTGTGGCAGTGCAGACTGTAGGAGGGACTTACAACACTACACAGTCGGTACACATATGGGACCCAAGTCAACAGCAGAGCCAAGGAGAAGAGGGACAAGAACAGCAGCTCCATCTGCAGGTTAGAAGAAACCCTTTCCTAACAGCCATACTGTGGACTAACTACACATCTGTATGGCTGGAACTGCTTTGTAGCCTGTTTTTCCATAGCTCAATGCATACAGTGGATGAACAATTAAAAAATGAATCCTTATGCTGTGACGAGAATGAAAATTGTGGCAGCCGTGTATCCATATAGTCAGGGAATACCAAGAATAATACCTAAAATCTAGCAATTCAAAGCTGCTGATACTGTGTGAAACCTTGCAAATACATCTTGGTGTTAGTCCTGGTGTTATTTACATATTACTGCATGATTTTACTATTATCTGATTATCATGTGAATATTGAGATGTGTTTTATTCTTGCTGACCTTTTTACCACAAAGCATAAACTTTGTTTTTATTTTGTTCCTGTGCAGGGTCAACTACAGGCAGAGTCTCATTCTGAACCACCCACTGAGATTCTGGTTCCTGTCTGTCTAAAGCCAGAGGAGGGCTTGGAGGTCTGGCGCCTTTGGGTGAAGCGAAAAAACACAGAGCTAAGCAAGCAGGAAAAGACGAAGCTTGCACCCATAGGACGTAAGTCAACCTGAAATCATTTTGTCATACATTCATTTGTGACATTTGTCAGACATCATTATGATTACATGTTCTTACTTAAACCACTGGACGCAATATAATTTCTTTTAAATTGCTGATGTGATAACAACTTTTATTCTGCTTGAAACTGAGAAATAAGCAATTAAACTTTTTAGCACTAACACAAGTTTGCCTGTGCTCTTCTCTCTGTGGCTGCGTCCAGGTCGTCAACCCCTGCGTTTTCAAGAAGACTTGGTGTCCAGTGCGGTGGCTGAGTTAAACTTGGGTCTTTCCCTAATGACACAGGAAGCTCGTGGATCAGAGGAAGAACAATTTGCGCCCGATGTTCTGTATTACGTCTTCTTGTGTATACAAAAGGTTAGTATTGCCCTGTTCGAATATGAAGTTTGTGTACCATGCCAGAAAGCTATGTGAAGGTACTTATGTGTGTTTCCATCTGTAGTATCTCTCTGAAAATGGACGCGTGGATGATATTTTCTCTGATCCATATTACACACGTTTCTGTGGGTCTTTACACAACATCCTGGATGGTTGGAAACCAAGTGTCCATCCGTTAGGTAAGAGCAAATCAACATTTCCTTGTGTTTTTGTTTTTTTTCCATAAAAAGAATGACTTATTTTGTATTTTCATCTTAGGTTACATTATTCCAAGTCATGTGACAGAGGAGATGCTGTGGGAGTGTAAACAGCTTGGTGCACATTCACCAGCCACACTGCTCACAACTCTAATGTACTTCAATACTAAGTGAGTAACCACCGCTCAGCACCAAATGACCTGAATCTACTCTCTTTAATGACACAGACATGTATGTAAATACAGTGTGGTAAAAATATGTCTTTGTCACAGGCATTTCCGCCTGATAACAGCTGAACAGCACATGAAAGTAGCTTTCTCCAAGGTCCTAAGACACACGAGGAAGAACCCCACTAATGCCAAGGACAAAGCAACCAGTATCCGCCTTCTCAAAGGACAAGGTCCACATAGTGCCACGCAGAAAGGTGCTCAATCCAGTTAGCGTCAAAATGAAGTCTTGCTATGAAACACAGCCTCTGACAGCAGAAATTGCTGGTGCTGACCTGTTTTGTGACGTCTGTTTCAGGAACTGATGACATGTACGAAGAGCAGATCGAGGATCCAGAGAATCCTCTTCGTTGTCCCATTAAACTTTATGACTTTTACCTCTTCAAGTGGTGAGTGATGCTCGATCGCAATAATTCTGCTCAACTGGATTATTCTTAAGTATGTACACAAAAAGAAACTTGACTCCCCTTTTCCTTTCCCAGTCCTCAAAGCGTTAAAGGACGCAACGACGCATACTACATGACTCCAGAACCTGTCGTTGCACCCAACAGCCCGATGTGGTACTCATCTCAACCCCTCACGAGTCAGCAAGTGGAGCACATGCTAGCTCGCATTATCGTGGTCCGAGAGATCCATGAGATCATTGGTGCTGGTCCAGAGAACATGAGTTAAACTGAGAGGACTGACTGGAGTGATGGGAACTAGTTCTCCAGTCACTGATTGTTGACTATGCAGTACCTGTCCTGACTCTATAAACATCACTGACCATCTCAAATAAAATGGATCAACTTCTGAAACAATCATTATTTTCTTCTGAGGAGTGTATCATGATTGCACTCACAAGAATTTCTCTTCTTATATTTTCTGTTTTCAGCAATCACCTCTAGAACCTTTTTAACTGGCAATTTAAACGAGGCTTTAGTCTCACCACCGCTGGATCATGATCAATCTCTTGGGCTGCTGCTCTCTGAGCTGAGCAGAGGTGGTGCAGTCTTCTCAATACATGAAGATCTTTGACCCTTCACTTCGTAACCTTACAGACCGTTAACCACGTCTTACTTCTCCTCAAAGTCCCACTATGATGCATTACATCTTAATGGACAATTGCCGGGACCACCGCTCATGACTTTTTTTGGATACTGACTGCATTTTGGATCATATGTATTGATATGTTCAAACCTGAAGAACTTGTGCCTGTTTTTTTTCTTTTTTCAAAAAGTACATCATAATTTATGCTTGTGGATCTTTGAGTGAGTCGACCCTCCGATATTCGCAAGGTCAAGTGCTATATTATAGTCATGCAGGTGGTTGGAAACATTTTTCTCAGGTCTAAGCTATCGATTCAAACACCCGTCAAGGATTTTTGCCAACTTATTCCTGTATGTATGTATAGTAGGTTATTAAACAGGATATGCAGATGGAATCATCTTTGTTTAGCTAATGCAGTATTAATCCTTGTATCAAGAGTCATGTCAAGCAGTTCAATAATGAAAAGTATTTAGCGCTGTGAGTGTCTGGAAATGCAACTCTTGACATTTGAAATAAGGATTAACTGTGGGCCTTTTAAAAATGACTTCTTGCACCAACAGCATCCATAGCCTAGTGGTACCTCCAGGGAAATTACATGTAAATGTGGATTAACTACATTGACAAAAGGTTTTAATACACTTCTGCTTCATTTGTTTATTACTAAAACGAGTTGTATAGTACTGTACAGTCCTTTTCTACACAGTCTCTTCTGTGTTTGATCATTTTACACAACAGCCCTACGAAAAACCCAGCTTGATATAATTTAATTTCCCATTTAATTTAAATGGTTACCCCCCCCCCCCCCATATGACTGAAATCCTTCACACCTGATGCCCAGTACTTGCAGACATCCACTGGATTGCAAAGAATTTAACCAAAAGCAAGGATGTTGTTATTTTTCATCAGTAAGGCTTAAACGCAGTTGTTTCAATGTCTGTGTGAAGTATTTAGGCAGGGGACAGGACACATCAATGTCTGCTTGACTGGCTCCTGACACTGTCAGCTGTCGAGCGTGCAAATGAAGAGGAAGATACCGGATCTTGCTCTGTTCCAGTCCAAGCTTTCCCAACACGCGTTCCGGTAATTTCTGTGGACCAAAATGTACGATTTAGTTAACAGTGACACATCAGGAACCAAGCCCCTTGCAGAAATGTGGGTCCTCCTTTTCTATTTGTACACGTGTAACAATGTGCCCACATGCAGGCAACAAAAATCAATTTCTACACTTCACTTGAGGTGAATTAATTAAAGCATGATCAAGCTGATTAAAGGTATTGTTTGGCTCCCAATAGGGTAGGTTTGAGGATCAGTGGAGAGACCTAATCAGTGTTTGCCGTGTGAGAGGGAGATTAAAGTACAAGATGCTGATTGGCTCAAGCAATTGCAAGTAATGCTCAGTCTACAGTGTGAAAGTTTAAATTACAGTAACAAGGCACATATCATCACCAGGGTACATCCCACTGTTGCCTGCTGATCTGAGGTATAAAGCAGACAACAACAGAAGCTCTCAGTTTTAACTGCCAAAGACATCTACAGCAGAATAACAACACAAGCACCAAGCTGTCAGCAGCTACTACAAGGATGTTGTGTTTGTTGAATCTTGGTTTCAACTGCACAATGGCTGTAGGATCAATGTGACTTAAACATATACAGCAAATATAACTCAACATTCTCAACAGGGATAGACAGAGACCATAAAGATCAATACTGCACCTTTACATCCAAGCATACCAAAGTATCGATTGGTAGCCACACAGATGTTTTCACTCATGGCTACCAGGTCCTGATTCTTTTAATACGACAATTCTCTTTGTGATAAGGCAAAAAAACAACTAAAGAGCTGTTTAAGTATGGATGAACACAAACACAGCGTCTTTAAAAAAAAAAAAAAGGACCAGCCCCCTATCAAAGAACGGCTTGAACACTAGTTTTGTCTCGGTTTGTCCTTTGACTGACCTTGAGATCAAAAAGTGACTCATGATATACCACTCTTGCTTTAGAGGCATTGGCTCGTTGTTAGTATGTCACTAATGTTCAACTGGCAGATACAGTCCCCACCTGCATTTAATGATTCTCTCCGGCATATGCTACTTCTAACTATTCAGTTATTATGTAAGACTGTAACTAAGAAACGCTGTACTCTTTTGGTGGCTGAGCTAGTCAAACACAAGTGACATGACATTTGCCATTTGCCATATGCCAGTACACAGACCACTAACAATCGACTTATGACAATAAAACAAGTGGCATGGTATTAATATATGCAGATGGAGAATCGTGTCTGTCTGTAGATCACAAACGACATGTCGTTAATAAGGGGAACACACCAGCAGTGATATGCCACTTGAAATCAGCATCTGCCACTAAAGCAAGAGTGGCATACTATCAGCCACTCAGTGGTGTTGCTGCCTTCTTTATGTACCACTAATTAATACTAATGGGTTTATTTAAGGGCACCCTGTTCTTTGTAGTACATTGAAAACAGATTTACCTGGGGTGCCAGTTTGCTCGAGTGGGAATATTTATGGTCACCGAGAATGGGACATGCCAGAGCTAATGCCATGTGAACCCTCATCTGGTGCTTCACTCCTGTGGGCACAAGAAAAAAGAAAGTACAAAAAGTGTCCATTCTTCATAGAAAAAATAGAGTTTGTCAGTAATTCACTTTGATATGTTTCCCGGAAGCACGGGCCTCTTACCAGTAAAAGGCTGAAGCTCCACAAGGCTGCAACCACTGCTGCTGTCCAGGACTCTGTACTTGGTCACAGCAGGATGAGCTTGCCGATGGGCTCGCACTTTGGTTACACCATCACCTGCATCATTCATTCTGAAAAGAGGACTTAACGCCATCTGAAATTTAAAAAAAGAAGTAGTGAGATTTGACAAATCATGCACCTCAATATGTATAGTTCTACAATAGCAAAGTTTATTTTTGTTTTAATCATTGACTAGTCCAAGCACCTCTAGATAGTTTTCAACTGATAGCATGAAACAGAAAATTTGTACAACTCACTACAGCAATAAGTAGATTATCAATTTCAGCATTGATTTTCTGTCATTTGACTTAATGACAGACATTTGTTACAGCATCAAAACCACAGAAGAAGAGACACCTTGTAGTGCGGCCGAGGCCCTGTGACCTCTCTCTCTATGATGGGAATGTCAATCACTCCTTCAGAAGGTACAGGTACACCGACTGTGATGACCCTGTGGAAGAAGAGGGAGCAGGAGAATGACCGACACACACCTGGGTGAGAAATGTGACATGTGAGAGTGAGACCTTGAATTTCTTACTTCTTGAAAAAAAAAATGTATACATATATATATGTTCTATCCACCATCCTTTATATTACCAATATTTTCTCTGCACTTGGTTATTTCTGTGCAGGTTGAGTATGTGCTCCACTGCCTCTTCACTCCTGGCCAGCAGGAGAACTCCTGTTGCCTCCTTCTCCAGTCCCAGAGAGGGGAGCATCTGAGAATCAGACTTGACCTTCATCCCATCCATCATTTTGGAAAGAACAGGAAGCACAGAGGAGATGGATGTGACCCTCGCGTCATCTGAGAAACAGTAACAACAAACGCACATGTATCCAGGTCCAGGTTCCACTTTTTTTTGTAGATTTCCATCAATTGAAAATATCAGTACACACACCTCCAATACTGATAACTGCAATAGGACTATATCTCTACCAAAATATCAGCAAGCTGATGTTATTGACCAACACTGACTTATCCTCGATATGGACACATGCTGGCAGATATGCAAAAACAGCATCAAGCTGCAACTAGTTAACAATTACCATAATCTTAAACTTATTAAATATTTTTTTGCTTTCAGTTTTAATATAGTTGAAGATCTTATACTGTTTTGGACAGTTAGTTTGGACAAAATATTTAAAGATGTCATCTTAGATCCAAGATATTTTTCGGGATTTCTTTTACATTTCAATTAATGGATTAATTTATTAATTTATATTAACATAAATATTCGACAGATTGATCAACAGTGAAATTAATCATCAGATACAGGTTGAAGTTACATCCCTTCAAATTTGAAACACAAACTCTTGAACTGTAAATGAAAGCAGTGTAAATCTATATATTAAATTAGACAGTCCAGCTGGTTAGTTTACCTCGGACAGGGACACCAAAGGGTTTATTGATGACCACAACATGTTTATCCTGGTACAGGACGCTTCTGTGGAGGTGTTTGGCCAGCACGTTGGGATGAACATTTTGAAGCTGCAGACTGAACCGTTTCAGCTCCATCACCCTCCTCTGTTGGCCGGACACCGGAGGCTCCGCAGTCTGTCGCGTCGTCCTCTCCTGCTGGACTTTGCGGGCCAGGTCGATCGCTGTCCGGCGGGGTTTCTCACTTGCGTCGGTGGCCTGGCTCCGGCTGTGGCACGGCGCTGCCTCCGGGCCCCGGCGGCAGTTTGACCGTGGTTTGACCCGAGAGAAGACGGTGTCCAGGCCGGAGATCCATTCTCTCCTACGGGCTAATATTCTAGAGCTGTTCATTGCGGCACAATGTAGGTAGTTGTGACATTAGCTGAGGGGAAACAAACCTCAGCGGAACCATGCTCTGCTTACCATTAAATTACTTCCGAGTGCCGCCTTTCACAATAAAAGCGTGCAAAGTTTATTTTCCACAAAAATAAAAAAGCAAGAAAATCCAAAAACACATTATGATAGTTTTAACAGGGACTTTTATTGAACCTACCAACTAACTGCAAATTTCAGATCCGTAGTTTATAAGGACATTAAAAAACAATTTCCAATTGTTCTGAAACTCCTAAAAATTGCGTTTTAACAAAAAATATTAAAGACCAAGCGACCACACACAAATGATATCTGACCTTCAAATATCTTCATAGGCTACATCTGTTTTTTTTTTGTGTGTGGCTACATCAGTAAATAAATCTAATGGATAAAAGGCAACAAATCTAAAAAATAAATTAAAGGTCAAATTCAGTATATGAGGCTATTTTTTTCACAGCTTTAGAGTTTATGCAGTATTCACCTGTGTCCAAGTCTATGGTCCAAGTAGGATTTTATGTGGGACGTGAAGACATTAAAATTAGTTTTTTGTGATGCGCATATGGGGTATATATGGGGATATGGGGTTTTACTAATAAGAACGTCAGTTTCATGACCTGAGTTGAATATCTAACTTTATGTGTAAAAGATGGTTAAGGCCGTACCAAAAATTTGGACTAAAATGCACAGTCCTAAAACGAAATATGGGTTTCATCTGTGTTGTGACAGAAGGAACAAAGTCAGCATTTAACCTATATTTTACAATGACTGAGTTAACAGGGTAACTTCTTGCACCTCATTTGAACCAAAGATAAATCCTGGGGTCTTATTGTGCCTCTACAGTACATCCGTGAATTGACCCAGTAAACGCAACAATTTCCTGTGGTGTGTTGTAATTTCCTTTTTCTAACCGCTGGTTCGCTCGTTTCTCAACACCGCTTGACCCGTTGAAGCCATTGAATACAATGGCGATTGTAAAACACCGCCCATCTGGTTGATAATGTGAAATAAACCGAATTTGTCGTTGTTGTTAGTCCAGGTAGACGCATCGTATCGTTTTAGATTTTAATGTTTTGTTGTTTTTAATGAAACTATAAGAGTGAATTCGCATCAAGGCTCTGCAGAGGACAGAGAAACTGCAGAAATGACTCGCAGACTTTGAACGGAGGTCCTCTCTTTGGTTTTACGCTGCATATTTAGTATATTTAGTATATGTAGCTGCAGACATGAAGATCACAGACAGTGTGTTTCGGAGTTTCAGAGTCGCCAGGACATATAGAGAAAATTCACAGAAAGTCAACTGTGTGGACTACAGCCCGAATGGCGAAAGTGCAATATCAAGCAGCGACGACGACTGCATTGTGTTATATGACATCCGGGAGGGAAAGTAAGGGCCCAGTATATTCTGTGAAGAAACAAGTGGTTACTGTGTAATTCACTTCATGACTTAGCTCAAACTGGAATGCGTTAACAACATATGCAAATAATATTAAATTTCCACATGTTTGACATCCGCTGTTTCAATATAAGATGGCCATGTGAATGTGTGGGTGATGATAAATAGGATGTGTGTTACCTGTGCTCTCAGGTGATCAAATGACTGACAGATATGAATATTGTCCTCTCTCAGACCCGAACGGACTCTGTTCAGCAAGAAGTATGGAGTGGACCTCATCCGCTACACTCATGGAGACACACAGACAGTCGTCTACAGCTCCAACAAACTAGATGGTAATAACTCAGTACTGACTGTCAGCCGGTGGCACAAAGCACCAAATAACAACATGATGGGAAATAGACTCACAAATACAGGGTGTTTTAGTTTTGGAAAATGAAATGGTTTTATGTCTTGTAGATACCATACGATACCTGTCTCTGACTGACAACAAGTACATTCGGTATTTCCCCGGTCACACTGCAAGGTGAGTACACCTGGACCAATGTGCATCCAAAGGAACAATAGAAATGTAGTGTTGTGTACACAATAGTGTGAAGGTAAGGTTTGTGCTTAGGCACTTGTTTACTGGAGAGCTGTTTAGGCCTTGTGGCTGTGATCACATCAAACCAAGAAACTACAACTTGCATTTTAATAAATGGAATTCTGTCAAAATCATCACAAACCTGACATTTTTATAATATAATATCTACATCTTTGAAGTTAGGTACTTGTTCTAATCCATCTGTTATTCATACCTTGTCTTATCCTAATATGCTGAGAAAAAATATGTTTGCATTTACACTCAAATGTTTTACAAAGACACAAAGAAAGCTGTATTCATAAAATCTATTCCTGATCAGCATGTTTACCTCTGTCATAGCATGTAGCTTCCCAGTTTCACTTTGGGTTATCTGGTCTTTTGTTGTTGTCTCTTACTTCCTCTAAATTCACTGTCCATCACATCATGGTTTCAGGGTTATTGCTCTCTCCATGTCACCAGTGGATGATACGTTTATCTCAGGCTCGTTGGACAAGACGATCCGAATCTGGGACCTGCGCTCTCCAAACTGTCAAGTGAGTAATCTGTGAACAGGCTGGATAATGACACTTCCTCTGCTCTCTGTAGGCAGTTAATTAAATGTGTAATTACACCTACTGCTATAGCTGTTGGTTACACATCAAGGTACTGTGTATCAATAGCATGCAAATCCCCTTTTAATAAGAATTTGTCCTGTGACCACTGGGTGTCCCCAGACCTGCCTTAGGAACCATATAGATCGGCCCTCTCAGATGGACCAACACACGGTAGCTAGAGCACAGTATTGTAAAATATTATTAATGAACATGGACTAAATGGAAGGGGAGACAATATGAACAATGTATGACACAAACACAAGTCTTTATTAAGGAAGGGTGAAATATGGTGTTAATCCAAACTTCCTGTTGTTACTTCTCACTCCTTTTGTTTGCTGTTATTTGTGTGTTTGTGTTTCAGGGTTTGACTAATCCACTGGGGAAACCTGTATGTTCCTTTGACCCTGATGGGCTGATATTTGCTGCAGGGGTGGAATCACAGGCCATTAAATTGTATGACCTTCGCGCTTTTGACAAGGTGAAATACAAATTCAGTGTGTTAACGGTTTGTGTTTTTGCCTGTATGCATGAGTGCGGGAGTCGTTTGTACTGCTGCTTTTACACTGTATTCATCACATGTTTATTTCCCTGTTAAAAGGGTCCGTTTGCCTCCTTTGAGACGAGGTTTAATCGTGTCTGTGACTGGACTGGACTCAAATTCAGTAACGATGGGAAACAGATTCTCATCTCTACAAATGGAGGGATGATCCGTGTCCTTAATGCTTTCAATGGATCCGTGCTGCACACTTTTTCTGTAAGAGAAATACAGTAATTAAATCACTTTGCCACAACGCTAATGGAATGCATCTCTTTGTATATCAGTCCAATTAGGTTTAAGTAGCTGAAAGTCCCTGTCTTTGCTCACTTAAAGGGCTACAACAACAGTAGAGGCATCTCCCTGGAGGCCTGCTTCACTCCCGACTCACAGTTTGTCATGATTGGTAAAATACCACAGCTTTATATATTTTATAGTTGGGTATCCATCCTGTAAGATCTCTGTTCTGACTGTGTTTAACTGTGTTTTGCTGTGCAGGCTCAGAGGACGGGAGAGTCCATGTCTGGAGCACGGAGAGTGGGATGAAGGTGGCCGTGCTGGACGGGAAACACCCAGGACCCATCAACACTCTGCAGTTTAACCCCAGATACATGACGTTTGCCAGCGCCTGCACTAACATGGTGAGACAATCAAACACACTAAATCAACTGTTGCAGGACAAGCTGCTGTGGGTAGAGTGCTCATTTTTACTTTATTCTCCTGTTCTCTTAACAGGCCTTTTGGCTCCCGTGTGTGGATGACTTATAGTAGGATTGAGTCCTCGTATAACACGTTACCGTCAGGCGGTGATGCAGGGATACATTCATGTGTCGGACTGCCTTTTTGTGGCCTGATAAGAACCTCATGACTTCATGTTTAATGTTAAACGTTTTACCAACAGTATTTTTAAACTTGGAAGGGTTGCTACTGCTATGACAGAACAAAATACCTCCCATAAAAGGACATTTTTTTACACAGTTCAGTGTAATATTTTAACCCCATACCTTGAGACTTCAAATATAATTAACAGATTAATCATCAGTGTTTTTATTGTATAAATATTTGATAATAAACTGTTAAGAAAAGTATCACTGTTCCTTTTTTGCCATCCTTTCTTTTTCTTGTCCATTATCTACATCTTGATATATGGTTATGCAGTTTTTTTATTTATTTTTTATTTTTTATTAATCAGTAAACTTTGCTTTGGTCTGTAAAATATCAGAGAATTGTGAAAGCCCAAGGTGTCCTCTTGCAGTTGATGATTTTATTCGACTGATGGTCCAGAATCCAAACAGAATATAAAAAAGACCAATATTGATAAGATTCCACAATCTGTTCTTTGTACATGAACAATCACAAGATTAGATCATTACAAGATCATAACTGGTTTATAGAACAGTAACACGATCACTTAACAGATGCAGACAGAAGTTCAGTCAGTCAGTAAACCAATCTGTGAAGACACATGCAAGTGTGAGAGAAACACAGGCAGATGTCATCATTTTGATGAATGGGTGTTTTTCTTTTTCTTGTTTTGTTCACATAAAGTCTGTCTTGCTGAAAGTAGAACGGGGGGGGGGGGGGGCTCTCTTGAATAATGTATAGATGCTTGGGTTATGTACTCACCACTGAGTGAATAATGGATGATCCCATCACAGGTAACCTCACAGGTACACACTTATCTTTCTCTCACCAACCTCTGTGTGTGTGTGTGTGTGTGTGTGTGTGTGTGTGTGTGTGTGTGTGTGTGCGCACGTGTATTAGGGAGAGATGGAGGAAGACGTTCTGATAGTTTAAGCATTTGTTGCACTGACTCTTACAAGCTTTCCACGCTCCTGACTCTGTTAGTGTTTTTGTCAGTGGTCAGTGCTGCATGTGCTCCTCCAGTGTACACACCTGACGTTTGGAGCTCTTCAACTTACACTTTGGGATGAGCAGTGTGAAGGTGTTGCCTAAGGTATCTTCCTCATTCTTGTCTTTTCATCAGCTTTTAACGCCAACCTTGTCCGTCAAAATGCACATGATGTACTGAGCACAAATACCTGAAAGACCCCGTTCTTGGTCCAGGTAACGATGTTGAAATGTAGCGGTCAGATTCTTGCTTGGTGTCACGTTTCAGTGACCAGATGGCTGGAATTTGAGATCATGCTAGTTGCGTCCGCTGTGGCCACTCTATGTGAATGAGTGATAAAATGTCATTACATGTGGCACACTGGCAGCATCTGAAAATACTGTACTGATCTCATGAGCAGTGGATTTGTACACAGCCCGGTGTACCTCTCACACACATTGCACTGCAGAACAGGACAGTGTGTGACCTGGGAGACGCACCCCCACCAAGGCTTTTTTTTTTTTTTTTTTTTTAAAGTTGTGGTCATTGATACGCAAAGAGTTTTAGATCAGTGGTTAGGGTGGCATATCCACTGACAGGCACGTTATTGCTCGTCAGCCACAGTTCCGCAGATTGTATTTCAAGTGTTAGGAATCTCCCGAGTCACCCTCGAGGCGTTTATGTCACTGGTGCGCGTGGGTCCATCTGTCTGTCCATCAGTGGAGAGGCAGCCTACCTGCTGAGCAAGAAGAGCGAGGACACGGAGACCTGGACCTGGTCCTTCTTGCATGAGAGGAGTGTGAAGCGGTGAAAACTGACTGCCAAAAGATGTCACACCAAACTGGAATTAATGGTGAGTTCTTTACTTTTTTTTGTAAATATTCTTAAAGCAAAAACTGTATTAGTCTAGTATCTCCAAATTGTTTCCACATGCAGTTTTGGTGCTTTTTAAAAAAAAAAAAATCTTTTTGATCACCTTTGATCAATGCCATTGCAAATAATGCATCATCATAATCGCACTCATCATAATGTTTTTCCCCAGAAAAGGCAGTTTAAGCTCATCCTGATGTGGTCACTTAACTTCACCTACTTCATTTACCTGCTGTGGATATAAATAATCATGGACTGTAAAAGCCACACATCTTTGACATTATAAGCCTGTATACAATGATTCACAGTAAAAAAAAATGTCTGTGTTTCTATGTTGTGATACCAGTAATTGTGATATTTAGGACCTACAGGCATTTATGGGTAGTTTAAGAGCTACGTATATACGTGTGTTATGGCATTTGGTAATTGGAGCGTAGGGGGACAGGTTGGCGGAAGCATACCTCTCTCACCTTTCTCACTTGATCTTCCATCATTTATGAGACCGCCGTGTTTGGTAACCATGGTGAGAGAGAAGGAGGGGGTTCAACAAAGAGCTAAATCTAGGTTTCGGTACCAAACTAACCTTGCGGGGTTTGAAAACTGGTGAATGGTGAGGTGTATCCGTAACTCTCCGATTTCTCAGCGATTATTTCATTTACTTATCCCCATCTGAGGCACGTTAGGTGATAGCGTGAGTATCTGGCAGTGGATCAAATTTTCTCCCTGAAGTGGAGTCTCAGGTTCTTACTTACCCAACTCTGTCTCACTTGCTTTCAACCCCCCATCCTCAGTTTTGACTTGTCTGCCTTATATCTGATTACTTCAGCAACATCTGAGCTGAAAGAGTTTCTGGCCCGAGCGAGGGGAGGTGCCATCAGAATAATGAAGATTGTCATCAGAAATGGTAAACATGTATCTCATATTCAAAAGGATCATTAAGCTTTTGACTGACTCATTCTAAATCCTGAGGTGAGTTTACTGATGGACATTTTGTCTGCAGAGGAGTTGGTGCTCGATTCATACAGAGAGCCTGCACACAGCTGGGACAAAGACTATGATCACTCCCTGCTTCCTCTGCTCACGCCTCAGGAGCCGTGCTACATCCTCTATCGTCTGGATTCCCAGAATGCACAGGGATATGAGTGGATCTTCATCGCCTGGTCACCTGACCAATCACCAGTATGTCTGGAGATCCACATCATGACTGTCTCAAATTTAGTCATTTCAAAGCACTGAAAACGATATTGTAAACTAAGGTTTAAGGCTAAAACTAGATGTCCAAAAACACATTTATTAACTGAAATAAGATTATAAGTAAGACCCAGTTAAATAACTTTAAATGAAATTTTGTGTTTGTGAAACTATAATTACACAATAAGGAACATTTTTAAATTATTGTTTTATATGTAGACAAAACCAAAACAAACACAGCTTCAGGATTAGGCTGTGGGTATTATTACTGAGCACAAAGTTTTAAAAAAAGAGTTCATTATATATTTTTTAATGTGTTTCTTATGAGGAAATGTGTACCCTGAAGTTCTGTTGGGTACTCTGCGTCAGAAGAAAAAGCAAAAAAATCATCATATATTGTTTACTTCTTTTTCTTTTTTCTTTGGATGCTCTAATGAAAGCCTCACGCTGCAACAAATTTGCCAGCCCACTGACTGAAACAGAAATTAAACCAAATGATCAACATATGAGGTGATTCCTTTGCTATTTCTTGACTTTGTTTTGGGGTAAATTAAGACATTGTTTACATGGTATTACACCGAACCTGTTTTAAATTAAAATTACTACTAAATACACAATAATCACATCAGAAATTAAATAAAAGCTACTCAACAAAACATGTACAATAGAATAGGCCTCTTTATAAGAGTGTACAATCAATCAGTCGCTCATTTATAAACTACCAAAGCCACACTCAAACCAACACACAAAAATGCTAAAAACCAAAATAAAAACGGATGACCATAAAAATCCAAAGTAATGAACATCATATAATAACCATGTTTGAAGCTCTTTATGTCCTGTGTGTGGTGCCACCCTCTAGGTGAGGCAAAAGATGATGTACGCAGCAACTCGTGCCACACTGAAGAAAGAGTTTGGAGGAGGTCATATCAAAGACGAAATGTTTGGCACAGTCGAGGTGAGTAAAATCTTCCGGTATGAAAACTGTTCTGTGAATTTTCTTTCTGTTCATTAAATACCTTACTGTTGGTGTCTCTCTGTTTGCAGGAGGACCTGTGCTTCCAGGGTTACCTGCGACACATGTCCTCCTGCTCCTCTCCGGCTCCTCTCACAGCAGCCGAGCAGGAATTACAACGAATTAAAGTCACGGAGGTCAAGTCTAAACAACATCAACTGTCTTAATACGCATGCTTAATATGTTATGTATGTCATGTGTACTCACCCTGTCTGCTTCTACATTTTTCCCACAGGATAAAGTTGTATGGGTGTGTAGAATTTCCTCCTTATACAAATTCAAGTGTGCGTGCATGAAGACGAGAGAGGAGAACAGATTTTAAAACTGTCTCTTACGCCCACAGGATGAACGTAGACGAATTGGGACTCCAACCGCACGAGCGAGGGTTTGTTCGCTCCTTTGCATGGACATACATTTTTTTGCTCAAGTAGTTATATTGTTTTATGTTAAGAGAAGTCAGAAAAGATTTTTGAAAATTCTTTTTTCAATCCTGCAGGTTACAATGGAGTTTGGCTTAGACAAAAGGGCACAGACTCTTCAGGGTCTTGCATTCCCGTTACAAGAAGAGGCCAAACAAGCTCTGCAGCAACTCAAGCAGAAGCGCATCAACTACATACAGCTGGTGAGCCCTTACAGAAGTGTAAAAAAAAAAAAAAAAAATACATGCTGCAAGGATCTATTTTTGAAACAAACTATGTAGCAGTGTTTGTCAGTGAAATGCAGTGAAATTGGCTGTGCATGACTTGACCCCTGAACAAAGCTTGTTTGTATACGTTGTGTCGCAGAGGCTGGATGTAGAGAAAGAGACCATTGAGCTGGTTCACACCAAACCTACAGCGACCCACGAGCTTCCCTACAGGATCCCCACAGACACACCCAGATACCACTTCTTCATCTTCAAACATTCCCACCAGGGCCAGCTGCAGGAGGCGCTGGGTCAGTACTCAGTCTCACTGTAGGTGTGAGTGCAGAGGTGGCCTAAGGCAGAGATGGAAAGTAACATCAAATTCTCTGCTTATCAAGTATCATTTGGAGATATTAAGTTCTGTCATTTTGCTCCTTATTTTCAAGAGACTGGAGGGAGATCCATGTGAATTTTATAGGAATTATTATACCAAGTTATTATATCAAAAGTCTAATTTGTTTTATTTTCATTAAAACATTTCTCAGTAAAAGAGATTTTAATCCCAGCGAGGTTCTTTCTTGACTAAATGCAGTAATACAGCAATGAACTTGCAATGTCTACTTCCTAGAGACTCCCATTACCTCACTTGCTTGTTATGTGAGGTCCCAACCCTGAGCTTGAAGCTGCACTAATCAGTAATTTTATATTAACAATGGACCAAATGTCTATGAGTCATGAGAAAGAGTTCACTCTCAATGCGATGCTCCCCTCATCTCTACAGAGTGTTTTAGTGTCTTTCAGCTTATTGTTTCTCTCTAAAAATTCCACTGTACGCTCCCTGCCCCACACCAAACAGCAGACACAGACAGAGTTAGCAATTGCCTGGTGAACATTTAGTAGCTTTAAGCATCAGATGTTGCCCTCAAGAGAGCATAGAGAGCTAAAAAAGGAAAGTAAATGTTGGTCTTACATTCCTCACATTCAGAAATTACTGGAAATTAATAGTGTGTAAATGGGCGACTGTTTGTTAGCATGTTAGCTGTTAACAACTTCAACAGATGATGAAATGCCAATGTTGTGTTTCCAGATTGTTCCACTGGCCCAAGTGGCCAAAAACAAATTAATAGCAACTTTCAGACACTAAGTTCTCCCGTTTCATATGTAGTTACTCGCATTGGTTTTAAAACAGCTCCTGTTGGGCAGTTTTCAATTCAAACCCTCATGCCTAATTGATTGATCTCAAATACTGTTGACTGTATGTGAGCCAGGCTCCTGGTTCTGTGCTTCTGCGCTTTAACAGCAGAAATGAAAGTTATAAACTGACCCAGTGAAGCAGCAAATATTATCTGCTCAACTGACGACTTCATGCCTCTTCCAGTGTTCATATATTCAATGCCTGGGTACACCTGTAGTATCAAGGAAAGGATGTTGTACTCCAGCTGTAAGAACAGGCTACTGGATGAGGTGGAGAGAGACTACCAGCTGGAGGTCACCAAAAAGGTACAGGTCAATAAAATCGCCCACAGCATGACCGAATGACCAACACACAAAGTCACCATAATTTACCTATGAACTGTCGAAGATTATAGATTATGACCATTAGGAATCATGATATTGAAAAGAGTGATTCATCTGTGTACACACTTTATATGTGTCTGTATTACTGTGTGCGTGTGTGTGTGTGTGTGTGTGTGTGTGTGTGTGTGTGTGTGTGTGTGTGTGTGTGTGCATAGATGGAGATAGACAGCGGTGATGGCCTGACAGAAGACTTCCTGTACGAGGAGGTCCACCCGATGGAGCACACCTTAAAGCAGGCCTTTGCCAAGCCGCGTGGACCAGGAGGCAAGAGGGGCAACAAACGCCTCATCAAGGGTGCGGGGGAGAACGGGGAAGAAAGTTAGACGCTATACACACACATGTTCAAGCACACAAGCAAACCCACCCGATATCTATGAATTGACTTGTTATTTGACTGTTTAGCTTCTAGCCACTCCTTCTTCATTTTTACTCAAGAACATATATTTCACACTGAAGATAAAGAAAAACTAGATCCATCATAAAGCAGAATTCATTCATATGTTATCCTGTGGTGATATAAATGGGAGCATTTTAAAGTGATAGCTGAGATACTAAATTCTCATCAAAATACCGTCCAGGAGCTGCTTTGTCAACACTGAGTTAGAATTGAACACAGTTGATGGCTGACTGATATATTTCAGTTCATCAAAAATAAAACTAAATATCAGTCCACATGAAAAAGTGTCAATACTTTGAGGGATAAAAATCTACAGTCTTGTTTATCTTCTTAAACCTTGTCGATCCAAAAGTGTATCAGTCATTTCAAACTCCTGCTGTGCAGCCAAACTTTGTTCAGATCCACAGAAGTTTGTTTTAATTTCTGGTTTTGATCCAACTGTTTCCAAAGATACTAAATATGTCAGGTGAAATTTGAGAGAACTGTGTATAAAAGGATGCACACAAAATCTTGAACATGTCTATTTGACGTAATGGCACACCCATAAAAACATGGAGTCTTAGATTTGACAGTGTCAGTCTGTGAACATTAATAAGGCTTCAATAAAAGAATTTGAACAAGCTGATACATTATATCTACGATGATGACGATGGTGATGATGCTTTTTATTTTCTGAATTTACTTACATTTGCCAATTTCATTCAAAGTTGACGACAATATTTCCCATCTGAGTTGTCCCTCCTGTCTCTGCTCTCCACCCTGGGAATTAGTTACTTGCTTTATTGATCTTTAATATTGATTCAGTTATTCAAGATCATTTGGAATGACAATGAAATTTCTATTTTAGGGTGGATTATCCTTTATATTGCATAGGTACAGGCCTATGCTGTGCCTGTGGTTCACTCTTTACCACATGTAAATTCATCCTCCCCGTCACTTTTACAGTTGCCTTCTCCAGTCACACAATCGAGGTTTGACTACATTCAGGTGAAGGCTGTTGTTTTACATGGACACCTACAATAAAATATTTTCTTTATTTTCCCTTGTTTGCCACGTCATTACAGTCTCTCTCTCTCTCTGACTTTGTGTGTGCGTGTGTGCGTGCGTGCGCGCGTGTGTGCGTGCGCGCGAGTGATATCCTATAGTCACGCAGGCCAGCAGCAGCAGGGATCACGGCTCAGTAGCAGAGGTCAATTTGTTGTGTGTGTTTTCCAGGAAGGCCCTGTACTCAGAAGCCTTCAGCTGTGCGTTCTGCTGCTTTCATACCTCACAGGGAAAGACGGTTGATGTTTTTTCTTGGAAACGCAGTGCAGAGCTGAATGGCAGTTTTCAAGTGGTCATTATCTCTGTGCATGGGAACTGTGGGGTGGGTGATGATGAACCTGATGACGTTTTGAAGGCATACTGACTTCTGACATGACACAGTTCAGTTCATTTCCCGGAAAACAAATCAACCATTTGAACTACAAAGGGAATGTTCTTCATGATAATATAACAACATATAATCAGTGGCTGAAAACATTTTGTTCAGACCATTCTGTGGAGCCTGGAGATAGTGACTGAATATTAACATGTGTTAGTGTTTGTGTTGTACTGTATAACATAAAGCAAAAAAAAAAAAGTCATATAGATATAATACACATATAATAGTTCACATATACAGTATAATGGTTATAAGACGGTATTTCCATTCCAGTGAACATGAACGCGGCTTTAAACACATTAGTGACAGCAGCGGCATCAAGGCAGACAGCAGTAACACAAACATTACCGGAAGTCAAGGTATTTGCCTTCAATTTAAAAGGCTAAAAACTGCCAGTGTAGAATGATCAACATGTGATGGAAGAAACAAAACAATAAAATTATATTAAAACCCTGCAGTCAGTCATATTCGGGTAGGTACGTCTACCTTGGGTATATCCAGGCTTCCTCCCACAGTCCAAAGACATGCAGGCTATGTAAACTGGCATCTCTAAAATTGCCGATATGTGTGAATGTGAGCATGAATTGTTGTCTCTATACTGTATGCCATCCCTGTGATACATTGGCGATCTATCCTTTGTGTAGCCCGCCCTCGCCCAATGTCAGCTGGATTCTGAGCTGTAACATCTATACTGTATTTTTTCAATACTAATTTCATTCATCCTCTTTTATAAGGCATGAAGTTTGAGCTCTCCTCATAGATGTCCCATGTGAGCGACAGCAATGCATTTTATTTTGAAATCGGTAGAGGAGGTGGTGTGAGTCGACAGTGTGTGAATTGACGGAGCTCGGAGAGGCTGCAGGCTGCAGCCTGTCCTGAAACACAAAACCTTTCTTGGAAACAGATTCCAGGAACCTCCGTAAGTCTAAACTGAACTGTGCTGTTCTCTGTCCTTTAGTTCACGGAGTAAAGAGCACACACACTTCGCTCCTCGCTCAAACTATTACCTACAGCGGACACACACGGGATATTTTACAATAGATAGTTACAAGGAGTGTTCATTGTCGCTATCATCCGAGACTTCTCGCTCATGATATTTAATTCTATACTCTGAGAATTTGATGGATTATGCGCTGGACTGTTTTTTAAACTGGCCGCAATCCTTATGATCTTGCTGGATTTAAGGTAAGATAAACTAAAACGCAGACTGGGTAGTTAAAGCAATTTGCTTGCAGTATGTATGCTGCAATATTGTTATATAATATCATATACTGGTGCCGTATACATAATTTTATATAATTATTGTATGGATTATGCAAATATATATATATATATAGGGATAATAAAATTAACATTACTTTTATTTTACTTTTGCTTGAAATTAAATTGTAGTGATATTTTTTTCTATGGACTCCAGCAAGAGTAGCTGCTGTGCTAGTAACAACTAATGGGAATCAAAACAAATATACAAATAAACTGACATAAATATTTCTTTTACTTATGGTTTCAAAATCAAATTTATTCTAACATCTTCTTAAGGAAATGTAGTGTAAATGATACAACATACTAATGCCTGAGTAGTTTTAAGACTCTGAGTATATACAGACCTATTAATAATGAGATATTTTATAGCTTAGTTTTTTAGAAATTATTTTAATTTTCTTTTTTTAATCACACTCACCTAACCCTCAATCACACCCATTTGTCCCTTTAAGTCCAAATCTTCACAAATGATTGTCTGTTATCCTTTTTACTATTAGTTTTTAGTTTGTTTGTCTGTATGGTTTTGAGCTTGTTTTCTCATTTTTGTCACAATTGTTATGACGATATCACAAATAAAATTGTGCAAATTGAACAGAATACAGCATAAACTTGACACAAGAATCTTATTTGACACCCCGCTATAAATTTTCTTAATGCTCCATGACATGAACATTATTTCATCAGGTCTGCTGTCAGTCTGAAATGGTTGCCCGGGCGGTGACCATTTTCCATCATGAGGAGCAAGGAGGCTCATGCTGTCCACATCCTTCTCCTCCACCCTGGGACCAAGCAGAGGACCTCAGCTACATCACCACCACCTTCCAGTATCTACAGACCTCAGGTACACCCTCCTTTAACTTCTAATGCAAACGTGTATAGATGATGTTTTAGTGGTTTAACTGTGGTAACTAGTAATAGGTGGAATACCTGTTGACATGTGTAAAGAAGTGGACGGTGGGTCCACAGAACAAATCCAACATTTTCCTTCTTTCTTGCTCCAACGCTGGATGCTCATCGTCATGTCTTTGAATGCCTTGCCAGGTGCAGTGCTATTTAAGCGCACGCTGATGAGAATCCCTTGTGCGTTTGCTATTTAAAAGGCCGCTACACCACACATTTGAGACACTGAAGAAGGATGAACAGCTGAACATGTTCTGGCTTTTGTAAATAAAGTGATTCTTGTCATAAGAATTGGAGGGTGTTTTCTAGGTAGAAATCTAACCTCACCCAAACACTATTTAAATGGCTATATTCACCAGATCTAAATGTATGGAATGAAAATATAAATAAATAAATAAATAAATAAATAAATAAATAAATAAATAAAATATAGAAATAAAAAACTTTAAAAATTCAAACCGTCTCTCTTTTTCCAGGCTGGTACTGGGGTTCCATCTCCGCAAGTGAAGCTCGGGAAGCTCTCCTGACAAAGTCTGAAGGTACGTTCCTGGTGCGGGATAGCAGTCACCCTCAGTATATGCTGGCCCTGTCAGTGAAGACCCGCTGTGGACCCACGAGTGTACGAATAGAGTACAGCAGGGGCTGTTTCTGGCTGGACTCCATCTCCCCTGGTCTATCTCACCTGCAGTCCTTCCCAGATGTTCTCAGTCTCATACAGCACTACAAAATCTCAGGCCACACACCACAGGAACAGGCATCTAATGACATCCACCCCAAAACAAAGACCGACCCTGCCAGGCACGCGGCTAAAGACAGCGGAGTTCCTCTAAAGTTGATGCACCCCTTACACAAACCAGAGGCCTTCCCTTCTTTGCAGCATATGGCCCGCCTCACTATCAACAGACACACAAACTGCACAGACCAGCTGCCACTCCCAAAGCCTCTGCTGCGCTACTTGCAGGACTACCCTTTCCACATATGAGAGTCTCTGCCCCCTTAGACACAGGACACAGAGACTGAACACATGGCTCAGGGTCACACTCCATGACCACACACACTGTGACTCTGGGACAGTTTGGCTCCCCGGACAGCAGAGACTGGCCCAGAGGGAGAATATTGTAATGTTTCAAGTACAATAAAGCTCAGTGCAACATCAGCACTCATGAATGAGCTCAGTCTTATTACAGTGCTACTGTTGTTCTCCAGAATAATATCTTTAATATTTTTATATGTTTCAGCTTCTGTGAATCCGTTTTATTTCTACAATGCCAATACGTAAGCTTTTGTTTTTTTTTAATCTTTACTTGCCCCATTTAGTAAGAAGAGAGAGACGTACTGGTTTTAGCATGTTGTTAGGTCAGTGGCCTCAACTGTGTCTTCAACAAAGCAGCTCAAACTGTTCCAGCAGACATAACAATTCAAATAATTTGGGTTTTCATCTTTTTGTTTTTCTCTTCTTTTTTTTTGGGGGGGGGGGGGGGGGGTCTTACATTTGCAGAGAGAAATTGTTCATGAAATCAATGAACCTGATGAATCATGGCTAAGCCAACAGTGATATCCTGTAACACTTGCAACTTCTGGGAACCATTATGGCCATCCTCACCATTAAATATGTCCCCACATACTAATTGATTTCCTGTTATGGTTATCCTGATAAAAGTGTTCATGATCTAGCACAAAATCCAACAGACTGGAGGGAGAGCACGAGTGGTCTGTTCCCCTCTGTGTGTCACTCTAATGATGCTCTTCCGATCAAACTATGATCAAGATTTTGAATATTCGAGGTTACACTGATGAGACGTGTTGTAACCAATATTTTGAGTGGATATATTGAGGTCAGGCTGACACTACATGACCTGCAGACTGGAGGGTCACAGGTTGCTGACAAGTCATTTTAAAAGATTAGATAAAGGACAGGGCACAGTGTGTGTTTTGTATTTCTTTTATGTGCAGAATCCTTTTCTTAAATCAGATATCTTCCATTTGCAGAAGTCAAGCACACCCTTTTCCAAAACCACTACAAGGCTGTTATGTAAATCAAACTATTGTTAGTTATTAAAGGACATCTTTCTCCAACTGCTGTTATTCTCAGAGGAGGATCATACATTCCTGTGGAGAAATAAACCTCAGGATTGTTTTCTCTTTTTTCCTTAAGTATCTTGTCTTTTCACCTGACTGGCCATTTGAACTTACTGTCTCAACCCTATTCTTTTTTGGCTTCCTGTCATAGTCCACCTGACCACCAGATACCCTGGGACTTTCTTCCTGTTTCCAGATCCACCTGCTTCACCTGTTTGGCATTTCCAATCACTGGAACTCCCTTGCCATCCTCATTTCCCTCCCTGGTATTTATAACAGCCCTTTTTCCCCTGTCAGTTGCCAGATTGTTTGCTAATGACTCTGCATGTTTTCCTTTGTGCTGCTCATGATGTGGACTCCTGTTCCTATTACCTGTATGTATACCTGCCTGCCTACCTGTCCAGCCATTTCCCTGTAAGCCTGCTCCTCATCACTTAATCTATTAAAGTTCCTTCATTGCGTCAGCCCGCCATGTGTGTCTGCATTTGGGTCCTCCTTGCCTGTGCTCCTACCACCAGCCGTGACAGATATCTTCCATCTGAAAAAGTAAAACACACCCTCTTACAAAATCATTACCCGAATGAAAGTCAAAGGCTGTTCGTGGAAAACAGTTGTTAGCTATTAAAAGGACATCTGCTTACAAATTGATGTTATTCTCAGAAGTGGATCATGCAGCCTGTGGATTTCAGAGAAATTAACCTCAAATATTTTCTCTTTTTTTTTCCCAAAGTGTTTTTTCCTTTCACCATTGAATGACCGGCCACTTGAACATACACGTGGATGTGAAGTATTAGTGTTACTGTTTTCATGGAAACACGCCTGAGTTGATTTCCGTGAGGTGGAACTGAGCAGTGCTGAGAAAGCCTCTTATCTGGATTAGAGTAAGAGCTGTAGTTATTAATACACTGCTGCACCAACTGAGAACACACTATCTCTGTCTGTCTCTGCCTCATCCTATCAGTCTGAAGCGTTTTAATCGTTTCTCAGTCCACATTTAAATTATCAGCATCAACAAAACACTTTTCTTATTACAATCCCTGTCTCCATTATAGATGAGTAAATGTTTTGACCTGCAGTCAGCAACATCCTTGCGCCATATCTACCACACAGAACAGACAGAAGAGGCTGTAGCTGATGTTTATCAGTATGACATACACTTCTTAGAAGTCATATCAGTGTAAAAGGATAACACAGTGTAAAAATACTCCATTATAAGTAAAAGTTCAGAATTCAAATTTCTATTTCAGTAAACGTACCATTTTTATTTGGAGATTGTTATTGAAGTATCAAAAGTCTGGGTCAGGGTCCAAAAGTCCAAAAGTTTGTGACCACTTTCCCACTTTCCCACTTTTGAACCCCTCTGTATTTCTTTTGATTATAAATATGGGTGCATTCATGTGTAAGAGTAGTTAATGTAGCTGGTTGAGGTAAAGCTATATAAAGGCTAGAGACTGCTCCCACTGTGTAGTTTAATGTGTAACAATGCATCATGTTTACTGATCATATGTTTTGTGAAATCATAATCTAAGTAATTAGTAACTATAGTTATAGTACAGTATTTCCCTCTAAAATGTTGTGGAGTAGAAGTATACCATAAAGAAAAAACATAATATAGAAATATTAAAGTAAATTAAGTATCTCACATGGCTATGTGAAAACTTGGGCAAAACTGGCAACTTCTCGGAAAGCCCCAAGTTCACTGCATGTAAACTGGGTTGTAGTCATTAGCTGCAAACTGAAATACAATATCAACCAAGATGGGTCCTGACTTTGAAGTATGAAAATGTGCGCTACTAAAGCACAATATCTGTTGACATGACATGGTTGGTCCTGCTCAGATGAGGGCCTGTGTCAAAATCTTGTCTTAAGACCTTTGTTAAGTTAGCTTTTTCACAGAAGACATTCTGACATGTCACAGTAGGAAAAGCGTAGGTGTAAATAATAAAATTAACGATGGCTGAATTCCATTTAACTGCTTCAGTTTCATTTTCCTAGTATTGTTCATGCTGGCTCATTGTCACACTGACATGTTTTACTTGGACACTTGAACAAACATTGTTAATGTTATTAGTAACACCTGTGCTTTTTCTACTATGACAAGTCAAAATATCTCCAGTGCATAAGGGCCTATTGTGTTTACATGGTACATATTATTATTATTATTATTATTATTATTATTATTATTATTATTATTATTATGTGATTCATTCATAAAATTAACAATCAATGATCAATTACCAAACACCAAATCTGAGCCCATAGCAATAATATACACAGTGCACGAAGAGAGGGGACCCAGCTACTCAATTTTGTGCCGGAGCTCAGAGGCACCCCAAACAGGTTAACATCAGCTATGGCAACTCAAAATTGCTCTTCAGTACAGTACTTGAGTAAATGGAGGCTACATTTCTGAATGTAACTGTACATTTACTCAAGTACTGTACTCCACTACAATTATTTGACAGCTTTAATTACTAGTTACTTTACAAATTGCAAGGAATAGACATGGAGTTTTTTTTATAAAATATGATGCTTTATAATAGATTAAACTACCCAACAGTATAGGAGTAGAGGTTAAAAGATTAATTGGTTAATCTCCACTGATAGAAAATTAATTGTCAACTAATTTAAACTCTTTTTCATGTGAAACTTTTTATTTATGGTTCCAGCTTCTCAAATGTGAGGATTTTTTTTGTTCCCTTATAATTATTTTTGATCATTTTGATTTATTTACTTATAATTTTGAGGTGTGGACAAATATCAAACAATGTGAATGTGTCACTTTGGGCTCTGGGCAGGCCTAATTGTGATGTGCATTTCTGACTGTTTTCTGAAGTTTTGCAAACCAATCAAATCAGAATTAAATAAATAATGTTTTAAATTAAAAATGAGCCCCATCTCAACCAACCACAGCGGTAAAATGTTGAGTCATATTAATCTAATGATATATATACCATCACTAGGTCACAGGGGCCATTTTTTGAAAGAGCACTTCTACTTTTAATTCTTCAAGTACATTTTCCTGATTATACTTATATTAAATACGTTTAAGAATTTTATAGAGTAGTACTTGTACTTTTGCTTGCATACTTCCTCCACCACAACACATATGGGACAATCTAATTCACAGCAGTCCAATAAACAAAATATGTTTAATGTAGGACAAAATACATTCATATTTAACATTAAGTATAGTAAATGGTTCAACACATCAACCATATCTTCTAATAACTAACAATAATGTATTACATGTATAAAGTATAATTTATAATGTTTATACAGCGGGGTATTGTTATTCTCTCCCCGCCCCTCGGTCACTTCCCTCCTGTTAATCCTCCAGCAGCAGCGGCGCAGTCAGGGAGAAGCGACGGAGGCCAACAAGGCACTACTTGGAGACCATTTGGACACATTTTAAACCAATCAGAAGGTAAGAGTATAATATTAACACCAAAAATGGAGTTTCAGTTTTTGTCAGTTTGTTTTATTGGCAATAATATCGTTAAATATATTTAATTAACCTATATTTTCTTCCGATATCGTGTCTACGCTAGCTAGCTAATGAACCGATAAAGTCGCATTGACTTCCGTTATGCTAAGCTAAGCCTAGCTAGCTAGTCGTACGGGTTTGTGATTCAAAGTGAAAAGCGAGTTTTGACTGAGTGGTTGGGAGGGAGCCACAAACACTGTTGTGACATTAGATGAATTGTATGATAAGTATCGTATATGTATCGTACACCACCTTTGAATAAAACCATACAGATGTAAACTTAGCGCACTAGCCACACATCCGGCTAACGCTAGCTGGTTAGCTACGCTAGCTAGCGTCAAGTCTTTTGTAAACAGAACATCCTCCTTGCTCGCTGAAATCTAGGTCAACCAGCGGTGGAGTGATTTATAATTTTATATCGATTCCAGCTGTCAGTGTATTAACTTTGATGTTAGTTTAATCACTGCAGTAATTGTGATACGGGACAAACGTTTTAGGGGAAAATTATTCGAGTTTGATGCCGGGGTGGGTCAGAAACACTGGAGCGGAAATGTACCATCGTACAAGAAGGTCCCTACTCTCGCTTAACACTTAAAGTCAACTAAATAATTAGGGGATGTCAGCTGTTTTATATAGTCCACGCGTCCTTCCTTGTACACAACCTACTGTATGCCTGAGTATGAACAGCTTTGGAGTAGAAAGCTAAATAGTTAGCCTCGGGTGTTGGTTTCAGACGGGTCTGGCGTTGTGTCAACACAGCTGAAGGTTACTGCTGCTCATCGTTTCTCACAGTGGTAGTGGTTGCATAATGCATGAATGTAATAAAACATCCCTCCCTGTTGTTAAAGATAAAATGTCCTCACGTCGTAACCTTTGCTGTTTTCTGTGCTTTG